ATCTGAAAAAGGGGAAAAATGGGGAGAAGGGGGGAAAAAAGAAGTTACAGCGGAATAAAAATGCTTTTAATGTGCACGGGAGATGGCTGGCGGATAGGATTTGGGGGTTTTTTTTTTGTTTGTTTGCTTCTTTCTTCAGTTTTGTTTTGCTCCTAAAACAAAGGGGAAGGTTGCCGGCTGGAGAGCGCGTGTGGGCTCGCCGGCTCTGAGCGTGGCGTGCTTGGATTAGCCACGCTGCTCTGAGCAGTTTAAGGAGGTCCAGCAAGTCGGTGTCGCGCGCCTCCGGCCGCCGCAGCGGCGAGGCGGTGAGAAGTAAGGAACCGGGGGCGCATCGCGACCCCTCTTTCTAGAAGGAGGGTTTGGCTCCGCGCGTGGCAGAGGTTTGCGCGTCCTCCCGCTCAGGGCAACCGGAAGGCTGTGCAGAGAGCCGGGGCGGGGAGGCTCCCGGCTTCACGGCGGGGTTGTTGCCAGTGGTGTTACTCGAGCTCCTGGCGAGTGGAGGAGTTGGCAGAGGGCGATTCCTGTGCCTCATCTGTGGAGAGCCGGAAAGGAAGCAAAGGTTTATTAAGCTGTTCTTGGCTGCCGCTGCTTCTTTCTTTTTATTTCCTTTAGAAAAGACTGTTTCAGAAAGGGCAAACCTGCGACTTTTGAGGAAAGCGGTTTATAGTTTCACTGTTCAATACAGATTCCGGCTCGTTCTCTTTTTTTTGTTGTTGTTGTTCCTTTGTTTTTTTGAATCGATTTAAGCACGCTCACGTCTTTTGTGCGCGTGCGTGTTCATTTTGCTGCGGTTTTCCTAATGGAAAAGACGACTGACCTAGGTTTTGCTTTCAGTATCTGAAAACCCCCGGGTGGATTTGGTCGCTTGGCCCTGGCCTGCCCCACGCGACGTGCGCTATCTGTGAAAACCTTGTGTCGCGGCGCCTGTGCTGGTCGTGCCCTCGGGGGGGGCAAATGAGGTGGTATTGGCACCTTGGGGGCTGTGCTGACATCCACGTTTTTTCCAGTTGTGTCCGATTAAAATAAATACTCTTGTTGCCACACACTGCTTAAATCCTCAACGAGAGGCTTGCTGTAGCTGCTTTCACCGGCCGAGCCATACTGTACAGTATTTATAATTATTGACTGTGCTGCAGCAGCATCCACTGGGCATGAGCAGGAGGCGGCAGGGAGGGGGGGACACCCTCCTCGGTTCGTGTCGTGCAAACGGATGAAATCCTAGTCCTGGCTCCTGAAAAGCCTGTAGCCTTAAAGCGTGGCTTTTCCTTCAGTTCACCCTTCCTCGTTAATCCTAGCTCGTAAGCGATAAGCGACAGCAGAACGCTTTTGTTGCGTCAGCCCGTGACGTTTGTATTGCTTACTGAAATCGTTTTGTGTGTGATATCCAAAGTTAGTTAATAAGGAGCGATACGAAAGGTGGCGAACGGGGGAGATCAGGGGTGGGATTTTGAGGCGGGCTCCGAACAAACAGCTCCGACGTTGCTCCTCAGGAACCTCACTGAGCATCGTAAGTCTTACGGGTCTTGCTCAGCATTCAGGAAAACCAGCCTGGGGTTGTTCTAGGCCCCCAGCTAGGCACCGTGGACGCCTGTAGCGTAACTCCTTACCTTGGCTGTTTTGTTCTCTGTGTGTCACTAATCTGGAATCACTATTGGCCTGGTCCTGCCATGTAATTCCTGAATTTCCACCTATTCCTAGGGATTTCCAGCAGCCCTTATTCAGCTTCTACAGAGAAGAGGGGCAAATTAAGACCACACATGACAGCAGCACATGTGGGTGTTTTTTTTATTTTGTTTTTTGTTTCGTTTTTCCTTGATATAGAACTCAAAAAATCCAAGTTTTCTGGACACTTGGTATTGTAGGTCCTTGTAATTTTTTTTTTTTTAACCAGGAAGTAATAGAAATTGTAAAGCATTAACTACTTCCCTTTGTAAGTTAACTCCTATAATTGCTTTAGCTTTTTCTTATAGGTGAAGTTTATTCCAAATAATAGGCTGGTTTTGTATAGCATGTGTCATTACTGAGAAATACTGCAGAAACTGGCCCTTTCTATCCCAAATTTTGTTGGGTAACTTTTTCATATGGAAAGTTTTCCTTACAAGTTTCCTTTTTAAGTCTATTAGGCTGTAATTAACATTTCAAAATATTTTGAAATATAATATGCTCTTTTGTTTGTGTCATAAATTTGTGCACTTGCTCTATTTTACTTATTTCTCATGTGAGAGCATGAAAGCTCTGTGCATGTTTTGCTTTTGTTTTAATAGGGATATGATCTAAATGAGAGCCTATTGTAAATCTATGTTTTTGCATGTTAGACTAGAAAAGGTAAAGAAGGACTCCTAGCATTATATATTATAATCTACTAGTAAGGAATTTTGCTCTCTAAGCATGATGTGGTTTGACCTGTGATTTAGTTCTGTGGCTAGTGTGTACGCAGAATCGCATAGCATAATTTTATATATAAAAGCCTGTAGCTGCGCTCCTGGCAGATGAGTTTAATTGATACTCAACTTTTTTTTTTTTTTGTAAACTCTTAACAGCAATTGTAGGCGTACATCTAGAGTTCCTTTAAAAACAAAAAAGAACTCTAAAAATACGTACACAAATAACCCCAACTTTCTATCTGTCGACGTCTTATTAGATTGTAAACATTCGTGGATTCTAGGTTGCTCATAGTGTTTTGGGAGTAGCCTCATGTGCTTAATAGAATATGTTGTAGAATTATGTGCTTTAAAAATAAAACCTTTTAATAGGGGAATAACTGAACACGTGGTGCAAGACAATACTCAGAAGACTTATTTCTTTGGATAACAGGAAGAAAACGTGGAAAAAATAGATTAGAAATGAATCCGTTTTGACTGCATATCACTTTTAGTTCAACACGTTTTATTCTTCCTTGTTGATGTTTATTATACACTTTATCATCTTTATTTTACTAAGAGAAGTTTTGCAGCATGTTTTCCTTTATATAAATGGAGGTGTTTTAGATTCAGCTCAAAGACCAATGGGGATTAGAAGTTATCTTCAGGAATTTGTTATAATTACGTTATATCCACATGAGCACCAAAAGAATTTAGCATGATTAATGCTATTATAAGGCATATGAGGATTAGGAATAATAGGTTGCTCCTGTTTTAAAGAGAACCAAGTACTTGTACAAGAAGAAACTCAAATATTTAAACTGCGTTTTATATAGTCAAGAAAATAGAAACAGTAGTTTTATTAACTGCTTATGCAGTTGCACTATGAGCAAGTTAATAATAACTAACGATAACTTCAAATTAATAGTGTTGCAGCTGAAGCTGAAAGCTGACAAGTGGAATAAACTTGCAGAGAGTGACGGAGCAAGTTCTCTCCTCTGTTTTTAACTAGTGCAAATTAATTGCAGTAGCTCAGACTGCGCTCCGCTTTATGTCAGAACTTATCTATTGCCGCTACATAAAATATTACTCTTTATGTTTAAAGTCTCTTTTTGATTGTATATATTTTAAAGACAAAGCACGTGAATGTTTTCTTTCCTTGGGAACTAAAAAAGAGAAACGGATTTCAGCACCTCCTCTGCCATAAATGACCGTCAGTCAGCTTTGCACGCTGCGGCAGCCTCCGCTGTTGGGTATGGCAATATGTTATCTGGCTTTATACCGGGACTGTGAAAGGTAGAAGGATGTCTGTTACAACCCACTGCTGATGCTTTGCAAAGCTGAGCTCTGTGTTTATATGCAAGCTGAGGGTTGATTAATACTGAAATAAGATCATGTATTAAAAAAAAAAAAACCCTAACCCTAGTAATTTTGTGGAAATAGCGTGCATAGCAACACCAGCATGTGATATAAGATGCAGTCAAGTCTCAGGCGATATGATCAGAGTAACAATTTTATTTCTAAACATACTGCTCTAGCCCTAGTTTTCATCCCCAAGGGCAGGTTACTGTGGTCAGAGGTACTTTAAGAACTAGCCTGTGTATTATCTCGATCTGTTACTCCTGCTCTTTTACCTTACTTTTGCAAAAAATCTTCTTAAAGTAAGTATATTGTTTGAGTACAAATTGGATTTTGTCGCTATGCTTTTCTCTCTCAGCTTAGTAAGCATATAGGTAAGGAGAGCATATGTTATTCTGTGACAATATTGCATTAAACTGTCCTGTATGGTATTACTTGGTATGATACTGCTCTTATTGCCTATAATTTGTGGACTCCTTGCACTTGCAAAAAATAAAATACATTTTAAAAAAGCATCTAATCCTGATAAGATATGTTTAAGTAAATATTACTGCTTTTTATGGAGTTATCATATTAAGATAGTTGGATTTTTCCTGTGTGCATGAGAGAGAATTTGGTATGTTTAACCAAACTGATTACTGGGGTGATTAGCATAGCTGGCTCTTATAATACCATAAAATGAAATATTGTGATTGGACTGTGCTCTTAACTCTCTTTAGTTCACTTCACTAAAAATTAGAAGTTTAGTGCTTCGTTGTGCTTTACACAGCTCCACTGCCAGCTGAAGAACTGGCAGGAATATGCTTTGTGGAGACTATGAAGCACGGCTCAGAAAAATTCCTTATACAGCGGGCAATCACAGCACAAGACTACTTTTTTTTAGTTAATGGTAGTCAAACAATAGTGAAAATCATGAATGAATTTTTGCTGTGTGTGTGGATAATCATAACCTTTTCTATATTTCATTCTGATTTTTTTCCTGTAAACTTCTTTATGCTGTTTACTGATTTTTTTTTTGTTTTTTCTTCTCCCTCCTGTTATCTGATGACAATTTAGAAAAATAATAACCTAAAGGAACACAATAGAATGGCAGCTTGTCTTTCAAGAATTATCTCATATTTTGCCTTTTATCCAGTAGATCTGTTGTTTTCATAAGTGAGTGATCAGTGGTTTTATTATAACTGGGATATAAATCTAAATTCAGTTCCTGGTGCCACAAGGTTCTTGCTTTTTTTTTCCTTTTTTCCCTCTTTGTTTCCTCAATAGTCTGTGGAAAATGCTTACAGAAAAAACACCTTCAAAAGCAAAAAAAAATTTATCCTTTTCACATATGGGTTATCTAAAGAGCTTTTACAGATGAACTACGCTGAGGCAAACCCAGTCCAAGCGAGCTGCTGGCCACAGGCAGTGAGGACCGGGGTAAGCAGCCGAGGGGAAGGGAGGTGGCAACTATTTTAGCAACTTCAGCACTGGCCCAAGCGACTGCTGTTTTCAAAGTGTGCTTGTGGGCTTTTTTTTTATTTATTTGTTTGTTTTTAAGTACCTCAGAGTGGTAGTGTAAGCGCAGCATATCTGGTAGTTAATTTTGACATGGGTAGAGGATAATTCCATCTATGAAATCCATGTTATTTGCCTATATAAAAGGTAACTCTTCTAAAAAGGCACCTTCAGACTGTAAAATGAAGTTTCTATTATTTTCTTAGATTTGCTGCATGAAATATTATGACGCTAAAGAGTCTAAAAACAGTTTCTCTGGATCCTAGCTGCTTCACTTAAAAGTTTAGTGGCGATTTTCCCCGTTATGTTTGGATCTGGCATTAAAGTGCTTTGAAATTCAGTAACAGTGATCTGAAAATTGAGGTGAACAATTTTTAAGGGTGGGGGGAAAGGGGAAATCTCTTCGAGGAAATGTTTTCTCCCTGTTTGTGCATGAACTCTATAGCTGTGTGAAGCGTGTGCCGTTGACTGTGATAAATGTGTAAGCACCGTGCGCATTGCCGTTTACAGACGTTCAGAAATGCCAAATCGTGTCATACCTGGAGATGAGTTTAGACGCTTTGAGCCTAAAACGACCCTGAAGTTCTTTTGATTTATCCAATAGCTCTGCAGCCTCTTGCATCTACGTTTTTGGTTTTCCCCGTCACAAAATAATATTGAGGGGGGGGAAAAAAAAAAGCCAATGCCTTTGAAGTGCAATGCGAGCGTCTGGCATAATCCCCTGAATCCAGGACTTTGCAAAACAGCCAAATACCCCAGAGGGACTTGGCAGTGGCATTTAAAGTGAGGGTCCAGCGGAGGATGAGAAGGGTGAGCGCTCGGGGCGCTGCATCTGCTGCTGCTGGCAGGACTCGGCCAGCGGACGCTGTATGTTTTGGTGGGTGCTGCAAGAGCGTGTGCCGTGAGACTGCCGTTGCAATTGCAGAGAAGAGGGGCAGCTTTTGTACCTTTCCAACTGCTTTGTAGAGCAAAGTACTGAACCGAGGGCTCCCGTGAGTTTGTAGGTAATACTGTTCCCCATCCTATGAATTTCACCTTGCTGCATCACCTTCACAACGTGCCAGGTGCAGCGATCGGGTTTATTTAAGCTATAGAGTTTATTGCTTTAAAAGCTGTCTTACCAACATGTAGCAATAATTTAGTCGGTGCAATATATTCACTAAACGACTTTTGTCTGGCGGTTTGGAAAATACTGGTTTAACATAGAACACCTAAATAGTGAATATTTTCTCTTTTCTCTCACTAAAAGTCTGTCACAAAGATGATAGGCGCAAACAGATGTATATGGGCAAGTACCTGGTGGCCTTTGCCACTCAATTGGTCATTGGACAAATAGGCAAAATATTCCGTGCGTCCCGACTTCAGAACAGCTACTAACTGTACCTTAATGTTGGCTAATCATTTTCCTCAACCCCCCCCCCACC